ACCAAGTAGTTCTCCACCAGGGAGCTCGCCACCAGGTAGTTCTCCACCAGGGAGTTCGCCACCAAGTAGCTCGTCACCATGTAGTTCTCCACCAGGGAGCTCGCCACCAGGCAGTTCTCCACTAGGGAGTTCGCCACCAAGTAGCTCATCACCAAGGCACTTCACTACCAGGTCAAATAACGAGGTACTTAGCCAAAAAAAAATCGATACATCACAAAAATTGGTACGTGACCAGAAACGGTTACATCAGTACATGCAATATTCTGAATTTAATAATGTGATTTATGGCACTGGAATCTAGATACCATAGAGAATCACTCACTAAAGGGGATGAGGAGGTAGCATAGGCAGCTTTGTTGTTATTATTTTTATTCTTCTCATACTTGTAATGTAACAATAGTTTACAGCCATATGGTTTTTCTTCTTGTAAATCTGGCAAGGTCTAATGGATTCTTAGTTGTTATTTTGTCACTATGGTTGGCCACCATTGCCCTATCTTTTGTGTTGGGATGAATAGTCTAGTTTATCTTCACGAGATTATTGATTTTTATTGCTTGTACATGCACTACTAACCTCTTGTAGCCATATTTGTAGTAAATGCAATGGAATCAAAGCCGGTTTTATAATACTCCAAGCAGAGTTCATGGTTCACTAACATCCCTTCTAATTCTTCAACAGAGAACTCATCAAATCGGGGGCTAATGGAGGTCACAAAAGCCTCATAGTCTAGGCCTAAGCCCATTAATATTCTCAAATTCAAATCATGATCAGAAATACACTACAAAAAAAACGGTCTAAGTCGGCACCGCCGGCTTTGATCTACGGCAGCGGTCTCCAGTCCGCCCCCTAAACCTCTGCCTGCTTAGGTCAAGACCGCCGACTTAGATGCAAAAGACCGCCACCTTAGGTGGCCAGTTCAAATTGCTCTAAAGCAGTGGTCACACTGAGTTGCTGGCTTAGCATTAATCAAGCAACGGTTTAAACTGCCGGCTTAGATACCAAAAGACCGCTGCCTTAGATTTCTATCAAACTCCCTCATTTTCTCAGGTGGCGGTCGAAACCGTCGGCTTATATGCTAAATGACCGCCGCCTTATATGTTGTTTGTGGCTAAACCGGCAGTTTCATGACCGCCGGCTTAGATTTTTTTTTTTCATTTTTTATTATACTAGATTAATTCTAACCTTTTTCTGGTCATGTTGATAGCTAAGCTAGCAGACACGGCCTCCGGCATATACCTATTTTTTTCAAAAAAAAAAAGCATATATACCCGCTTAATTACATCATTTTTGTGGTACCTGAAATTTTTTATTTTCATACCTGTTTAATACAACAAAACCAATTTGACAAAAATCAATTTAAAATGAAATCTATTAATTCAAAGATTATATATTAAAATATCTAAAAGACATTGTTCAAATACAATATCCAATTGACATATAAATAGTACAAGAACTTCAAAAAATAATCAAATTCTCTAATAATTCAGCACATCTTCCAATGCGAATCCACTTAACATATTGATTGAACCTGCAAATCAAAACATATAAATATTAGAATTATATTCAAGTATTTTAACTATAAAGATAGAGGACTAATAAAGGAAAATGAATATTCAATATATTCCTTATTCACTATTACTACAAAAAAAATTAAAATTAAAATTAAAATAATGGCAACAATATGTATGTAATCTTAATTTAATGGGAGATGACTCATTTTGAACACTTCCTACAATTTTATAAAAAAAGAACCGGGCCTTGCTTGGTTGGTAAATTATTAGTTGTTAAATGTGAGAATGTCAGTTTGAGTTTGAGAGTGGTCATTTCATGCTATAATACTAGATATTAGGTTCATGTCCAATTTATCCCTTCCAACTGTATTTTGAGAATGGCGTGGGGGATTCCAAGCCATTTCTTATTGGATTATTATTACTATTATTATTGGTATTTTTGCTTTTATTTTTGTTGTTATTGCTGTTGCTTTCCAAACCACTGTAGCCGGCTGACAATGACAGAAAATCACAATTCTGCCAAAACCAAAAAAAAAACGTTGGGCTAATCACAATTCACAAGCATCAGAATAAAAGGTATGAGAAAGGCATTAGTAGGTAATGAATATGATCATACCAGCTTCTGTGAACTGAGAATTCCAGTTGCTACAGAAGTTTGTTGCTGATTTGCTGAAGCATCTTGTCTGGTTGAATACCAATTAAAGCTTCATTCAGACTTTTCCCGGCAGCATAACTGTATGTGTTGCTGGAGGAAGTAGTAGCTCCACTCAAATCATTTCTCACTCCACCTGACCTCGTTTCTTCTTTTACTTTCAATTGATCAGGAAGAACAGGAAACTTAGACACTTTTCTCTGCATTCTGGTATGCCCGGATGAGACAACTGATATAAACATGAGCTGCACATTTCTTCCACGATTGCCTTCTATCAACTTTCCCTGGAAAAACTTGTACAACACAGTGTCCATAATCAGTGTTGAGAAATAAATAATGCTGCGAGTCTGTAAACGAGAAAAAAAAAGTGAGCATATTTGTGTACTAAACATCCTCTTCACCTTTTCAGTTAAAACACCATTTACAGCAAAAACAGATGGCAGTTTTTATTAAATTTTGCTGAATGAAGTTCTTGTATATGGCCTTCTCATCCTTGGAACCATTCATGTAGTCCAAAGGACCTTGTAAAGTTTGATTCTGTCAAGCTCCTTATTAGTGATTCTAAGCACATCATCACATCATGAAAGAATTGGTTTCAATTCTCTATTTTGTCCACATAAATCCTGCTACCTATTTTGTTCCATGTAGGGCCATATAATTGAAACCTTTTTCCTGTTTCATAATTTTCTGCATTTTTATCTCATTATTTACATGGCTGTAGAATATTCAGATGAATATATATTAATCTGTTCATCCACAGTTTCATCAGTTGAATAAAGGCCATTACCCAATGCTGGTCCCAGTTGAATAAAGGCCATCAGATGAATATATTTAATCTGTTCTAGTTATGTACTGGTTTTATCTATCTTAATGAATTTCTATTGTCAACAAAAAGAAAAAAATAAAGAAAAAAGAGATGAGGGCAGTGGATTCTGTTGGCATGCTTTAAGTGCTATTTTTGTCTTTGGAAGTGGGTAATATTTGGTTGAAAGAGTTGAGGGGGACTTTGACAATAATTACAGGGGGTCTGGATGTGGAGTATGAATATGATGTCTTGGGGGTGTTAAGAATGAGTATGGTGGAGTTTTGCTTTTATGGATTGGTGGAGTTTCAGTTTTTATCAAAAAGAAATATACACTAAAAATCATCTCCTTTCTTTTTCCTTGTAAGTTCTATAAATCTGATTCATGGAGAAATTGAGACAGGATCCCCTAAGATTTTCTGAAATTTCAATGCAATAAAATTTACAGGCAATAAGGATCTCAAAAGAAGTAGTGATTATGGTCATAGTTTTTCTGTAATTATATGGTTTAACTAAAGACACACGAAAAGTCCTGAAACTAATAGGATGTTAAAGCAATTCAAATATCCCCAATATAGTAATTCATGCCATACCTTGTTGGTTGGCTGTAAATTGGCCATAACTTAATATAAGGCTGAAACCGTGAATTAGCAAATCTAGGGCTTGCTAGATAGAAAATGAAATAAACTTTCTAATGATGATAAAATCAAGCCAACTAAAGAGTTTCAGTACCTGAATCTTATTCCAATTGTGATAGAGTTAAAGCAGTTTTTTTATCCAGCTGTGGGTTGAGGTCCAGGTGAATAAGTGATTTGCCTATCACTTTGAATATTATTTTCACTGCATGTCTAACATTATTATATATTGTTCTTTTTATTCCTAAATTTCCCCTGAATTTAGTTCCTCCTAACCACCAGAAAGTGAAAACAGGTTCTTGCTGTTTCAAGGGTTATGGTTGCCTGGCAACCAATTGGCATTTCAATGGGGGTCTATGATGGATGCCACAGGTACTACATGTTATGATTTTCTAGCAGTTCCTTGCTATATTTTGATGCTTTGTTTCAAAGATGTCTTGCTAACATGTAAGAGACTGAAAATTAGGTATTTGAAAGAAACGAAACAATTTGGAGTTCCATTGGCAGCATTCCAACTTAACCAAGAGAAACTTGTTCGCATGTTGGGTAATGTTCAAGCAATGTTACTTGATGGTGCGCAATCCGGCTGGTCTTAGCTGTCAACGACCTTGCCTCTGACTGGGGCTACAGGGAGCCTGAAACGGAGAAGATGAGGAGTCTTCGGGGAGGAACCCGGCGAGATTGCTCCGAAGCTCAAGTTAGTATTCTTTCGAAGGCAAGATAAAACCAGATGGCGCAAAGTTCACATACCTTGTTCTTGGGGGGTAGGGGGCCTTTTATAACCACCTCGCGCACTCATTCCTAAGCTCCTGCCAGT